GTCTGGAGACAGTTTACACGTCATATAAGATGCATGTTGGTGTTTCTTTAGCCAGATGTTTTCACAGAGTGAAAGCCTTAGCTCCAAAGCTTCTTACATGGCAGGAAGGACGGAGGACAAGCTACTATGTACACAATCCAATACAAAGAGTACACACACGTACACACACACACACACACACACACACACACACACACACACACACACACACACACAGAGTTTCCAAAGCTGTAATAAATTTAAAATATCTGGGATCAGATAGTTTCTAAGTCTCCATTTTTTAATCTGTAAAATGAAAAAAATAGCTACTTCAAAAGGCTGCAGTGGAGACCCCAATGAGAACTTAGGGAAAGCAGTTTTCTGGCCTAAGACAAGTCAGTTCACATCCATCAACAACTAACTTCATGTTTTATTAGAGAGCCAGAAAGTTTATAACATAAACAGGAAAAGAATCCTTTCTCGGAACAAGCTGTCTAAATGACTACAAATATCCCTTTAATTCTTTGCTGACTCTGAATACACAAGGAATCAAAAGAATAACTTGGAGCCTGGCAGTGGTGGCACATGCCTTTAATCCCAGCACTGGGAGGCAGAGGCAGGCAAATCTCTGTGAGTTCGAGGCCATTCTGGTCTACAGAGCGAGATCCAGGACGACACAGAGAAACCCTGCCTCAAAAAGACAGACAAACAAACAAACAACAACAACAAAAACCCAATCCAAACCAAACCCAAACCCAACAAAGTATAACTTGGGTTTTAGTGGACAGGAGTTAAGTAAAAGAATTTTACCCTATACTGATGAAACTTTCCCATTGTTACTATTGCCCAGATATTCAGTTTTCAAGGTGGGAAAACATAATCAACAAATCTCAGAATGTAAGCACTCTTATTTTATATGGTGACAATCAAAATCCAACATTATAGGAGGAACAACTTGTCATGCCACAGAAGGTATTTTAACATAACTCTCTCCATTTTAATAGATGGGGCATACTACTAAAAAATTCATAGGTAATCCAAATATCTACCTTCACAGTCAGTACTGTTTTTAGACACTATAACAATCTGTTGGACTTTTACTACAGAATCAAGGTTCTCATGAAGGTTATAGTGGGCTGTTTATATACTGTGGGGAGATACCATGAATAAGAATTGAGGTAGGAAGACAAGCTGTGTATCTTACTCAATGGTCCATGAGGTATTCAGTCTTTTGACATCTTCACAGATTATGTCTATGAGCCTCACTTTCTGTAATGTATTTTCACACGAAACTGATCTTTAGCTAGAAACAAACTTCCTTTTCCTGTTTTATCAAAAAACAAACCACCCGGCTCACAGAAAGACTGTAACAACACTACAAACTGCTTATCTCTCCCCAGAAACAGTTACTGTTACTAGGCTTCTTCACATCTAAATGTTGCTGTAAACTAGCTGGAAGCCAGTGCATTTTCTTAAATGACCACAACCGAATAATGAAGCCTTAGAAACCAACGCGGATGTAGTACTTCTAAGAAACACCAGCCTGACTCTCTGCCTGCCTGATGATGCCATTGGAACAGACTCGGTATTTTAGGTCCTCTGCTTGCTCTCAGTGTGGACTACTTCTTTAGTCTTGTCTTGTCTCTGATGCATTAACAACTGCAGGCCAGGTACTCGTTCTGCAGAGGACTCTACCTTGGCTTTGTCTGATGCCCCATCACACTAAAGTAATGTGTCTTTAGGAAGAATGGCCTCTTCTCAGTGGCCAATCCATTCAGTGTCTTAGGATTTTGATTTGACCATGCGATTCATGTGGTGACTGCTCAGTTTCTCCATGACAGTTACCTTTCACTTTAAAAATTAATAGCTATTTTTTTTGGAAACAATTTTGAATAGGTATTTTCTTTTCTTTTTTAAAAATTATTTATTTATTTGTATTTTATGTGCATTGGTGTTATGCCTGTTCACATGTCTGGGTCAGGGTGTCAGATCTTATAGTTACAGACAGTTGTGAGCTGCCATGTGGGTGCTGGGAATTGAACTCAGGACCTCTGGAAGAGCAGTCAGTGCTCTTAACCGCTGAGCCATCTCTCCAGTCCCTGAATAGGTATTTTCTATTGAGATATTTTGAGAATATTCTATTCTTCACCACTACTTGCATTCCCTCCCGATATAATTCTCAGCTCATGGATCTGTGTTTCACTCAATAAGCTACAATTTGTCTCTGTCTCAATACCCTGAGGTCTAGCCAGCTGCAGATCAAACAGTGTCTGTGTCACGTGACAGACACACCACACTTCAAACACATCCTTACTTCTTACCCCAAAGTGGTCCAGGCTCATCCTGTCCTTCGCACGCTTCAGCTATGGAAACCACTGTGTGTGTCCACAGTCTTGGCTTCTTTCAACAAGCCTCCTCACACAAGAAGTGGGCTTTATTCCCATTTCTTGGTTCTCCTAACCGTAGTTTCACTGCTTTACTTTGGTAGAGAATGACAGCAAATGGTGAGAGAATGCTGCACTACTTACAAATGCACTTTAATGAACAATCAGTTGGTGAGTATCCAGAGTGATGACTGAGGACAGGTAAATTTATGACTGGCGAAACATGAATGTCACCAACATTTTAGTCAATTCTATGTGACACCATTCTTTACAATTTTGAACTTAGAGTTAAATCTCTAAGTTAATGCATCTGTAATACTAGATACCTTGTTCACTACAATACAGCTGTGACTAATAAACCTAGAGAGCAGTCTGGCTGGAAGCATCTACGACCATATTCCCAATCCTCAGACCGAAGAGCAACAGTGAGGAAAAGGCGCTTTCAGAACTCTAAACTACAGGGTAGTCATGGCTCATCTCCTTAGTGTGACTGATGAAGCTGAGTCATGGGTGAGACCCCTGCTTTTAAGAACATTATTTGGAACATTAACACCATAGCTCTATTTGCACGCAAGTCACAAATCACTTCATATGATTGCTTTCTTAGGAAAACTACCAGAACACGGAACTCAGCTTGACGGAGCACAGATCTGAGTTGCCAGTGTACTTTCTTTAAATAATCAAATTACAACTGGAGAGTAATGGGTAACCGTACAGGCTCTATTACAAGTCATGAAAACGCACATTACTTTTCTGTCACTTAAAAATGTAGAAGCTGGTAAAACTCACTGAAGTAAGTCACAGTCTAATAGCTATGTCCTGCGGGACACAGAATTGTACACACTGTGACAAGGACAAGCCTTTTCTGTAACAGCACGGACAGCATGGGATTATGAGTCAGGGACTCCCAAACGCTCGCTGGATGGACTTCCCTATCAATCACAACAGGCATCTCACAGTAAAGGAGGGGCTCGGAGGACCCTATGTACGACACAGCAAGAGCGGACCAGCTTGCACACGGGCTTCTGCACAGCACAAACAGGACAGACACGGAAATAAAAGAGATACAGCTAAAGAATAAAGAGAGAAGAAAGCAAGAGTGCCCAGAGAAAGCAATGGGAGCTCAACAGCAGCAAGAGCACCCGGGATGAGGTGGTGCAGAGGAGAAGGGTGCGGAGCTGCAGCGCGGTCACACAACCCAGAGCCCTGCCTGCTGCCTGGCGCGTTCGTGACTGACCGCAGAACTAGACTCAGCTTACACACTGCTGTGAAGCTGGAAAAGCTCCTTCCCAGTCAGTGTTCGCGTTCTTTACTGCCAGAGAGCGTACAGAGTTAAGTACACTCTGAAAGGAAACAGTTTCGTAAGCTCAGAGAAGGGGCACTTATAAATGTAAGGTAGCCTCTGACAGAGCCCTGACTACCAACAGTTGTATATAACGTTAATGCTTCTCTGATCACCGCGGGCTCTCAAAGATCCAAGCAAGTCTTCATGCTAGGAACTAATCAGCCTTTAAGAACCAACCATGCTTCAAACAAGCAAGGCTGTGGGCGGGATGATATAGATGCAATGTCCAACCGGGGCTAATAGGACGTTGGCAGCCTGGCCCCACGATGCAGATCTGTGTGTGGTAACCTGACGCAGGGTGCTGGACTACAAGCAGGACAAAGCCTGCTCTGGCTTCGGGGAGAGGACTCACAGGAGATGGGGAGGGAGAGCTGGGAAAGACAAGATGGGCAGTTCTGGACACGAAGGTCAGAGCACGAGCTGGGTGAGAGAACTCGCTGAGGAAGAGCAGTCTCTAACAGGGTGTCCCAGCCTGCACGGTAAAAAGTGCATCGGCACAGGATGTGAGGCACTGTGGCGGTGATCTGGCACAGGACGGCCAAGATCCACGCTGGGTGAAAAGACCGTTTTTTGTGAAGAAGGGGGCAGCAAAAAGTTTGGTTACACATCACGAGGACTGATCAAAATAAATAACAATGCTAAGGAGTCTAGAAGCTGGTTTCTCCCTGTCAGGAGTTACAAGTATGGGAAAGAGCAAAGCCAAGAAAGAACAAACCTGACAGGATTGGATACAACTTGGAAGCATCGGCATTCACTTCAGTCTTTGATAGATAACACAGTTAGGAGTGGGTATGCGTGTGTGTGTGTGTGTGTGTGTGTGTGTGTGTGTGTGTGTGTGTGTGTGTGTGTGTGTGTGTGTATCTGTGCGTACACACATATGCTTGAGCACACACGTACACACACACACACCTTTCTACTGAGAAGGTCTGGGAACTCACATAACAAGCGTATCTAGTTCTCAGACCTTGATTCCTAAATACCATTCTTTAAAAGAAAGAAAGAATGAATGAGTCTGGAACACTGTGGTATGGCAGGACAATACTGAATAAGAGATGAATGAGTCTAAGGATTAGATACAGTGACACTCTGACTTTGGGACTTGCTAGGAGAAAGATCTTTATTCCTAGGAAACACGTTCAAGTATTTGGAAGTGATAAGATTTCAGGTCAATGTCGTATTTTAGCACTTCAGAAGAAAACAAGTTCTTCCTAGGGAGCTGTAACTTTTTTTAAGCAGAGACATGGGGATGGGGAAGGGCTCAGGAAGCAGGGTGGGAGGAAGGAAGTACTTACTGAGGTCTTCAGCCAGCTGAACCCGTTTGCCAGTCAGCAATTTAATCTTCTTCTCCCCGTCTTCAGCAAAGTCTTCTAATACCTCTTTAACATTTTTTTCTAGTCGCCTAACTGTTCAAAGCAAATAAAAACCCCGAAGAGCACCATTTTTATGAATGCACAGAATGAAAAAATCCCGCATATAGTGAAAACTCTGTATCGTCATGTTAGCTCTACATGAACTCACGTTTCTCACTTCCTAGTGCATCTGTCAGCACAAACCCGACCCATATTCTGAGGACCACATGTTCTTAAGCCATAGCACTAACAGACACACAGACTCCAAACCACAGAGCAATGCTCAGGACGCCACTCTCTTTATCCTAATTTTGATCTAATGAAGTAGATACATAGCACCTCTTATCCCTACCATTTTCTAATTGTAATTTCTTTTTTACTAATATTTTAAAGCAAATTCCGATTCTGAGGTTTCTAATTCAATCTGTGTTTTAGGAATTACCTTACCTTCAGTGTTTGTAAGCTGCTGTCTTAACGTATTGGCAGTGATAGCCAGCATACGCTGTATTCGCCAGAACAGGACCACGTCATTGCATTCCAGCTGAAGTAGTGAACAGTTGAGATCAGATGCAAAGTTAAAAACAAAGCCTTTACTAAACACATAGAACTTATTTCCTAAGCTTTAGTAAAAATATCAGTGCTTATCTAGTAATACATACATGTTTCCTTTGAGCTGAAATAAACCAGAAAAACACTTAGAAGCTTCAATTTGATAACAACACAGATTAGCAGAGCTTCTGCAAGGGCTAATTTAAAGAACTTCTGTTTGTACGAAAGTGCTCGAAAGGCATCAGTCTGCTGCCACCTAGGGGTTACTTTAAAAGGTGTGAGAGCTATATCCATTACAAGAACTAGTTCAAGAGTCCAGTGATGTGAGAAAATTGTGACACATAAAAAATACATAATAAAGTAGTTTTGCTATATGGTCTCCACCACACATGTGGTTGGCTATGCTCTACACACATCCTCCCCTTATAGAAAAACATAAAAATGCTTCAAGTCACTCTGGGGTACACATGACTGCCTCCTTTCCCTTGCCCCCGATGATACACGTGGAAGTCAGTTAATCCTAAACTGGCAAATCTCTGAAAAGACACAAGGTTATTCTTTGTGAGTCACACATTCTTTTCTCCCAGACGCTCAAGGACTTCAAGTGAACAGGAAGCCGAGGTTCACTCTTGACCATCTTTCAACAACACACAGAAGCTAAAAATGACTCCTTATGCTCTGTGAAACCTCACCTCAGAATCTATAAAATGCCTCTGGTAGTAATAAAACCCTCTTCGACAAAGGTTACAATGATTTAGAGCTGTTTTTAAGAAATGTCTTCTATAAACTTGATGCCAAGTATCCTTAATCTAAAATGAGAAAAGAAAAAAAAGCATTATGATAGATGTTGTTGACCACTGAGTAGTTATATACAAAATTTACTTTTAAAAGTTAATGGAAAGTCATAGCAACATTCTTATTCTAGCAACCTTTTAAATCCACTTACATCATTTTTCAAGTCAGATATCAGAGTTACGAGTTTCCACACTTTCAAATCTACAAGTTCTAAGAAGCATGGTGGCTACAGTTACACCATCAGTGTAGAGTGGGCTGGTAAGGGATGATCTTCCCACAGCCAGCAGTGGGAAACCCAGGCAAGAGGCGTTTGGAAGCCTGGTCTAAGGACCACGTTAGGCCCTGGGAGCTGGTCTCAGACCACGCCCACCAATGTCAACAGTCAGAAAGCAATCCTTCCTATTGCCACACTGTCACCACAAGTGTCCCTCCCCACCACCGTGGCACTGTGGTCTGTCGAGTAGTGAATGCTCAGCACAACTAGTAACAATCACAATGCTAGTAGGCAGAACAAGTACCGATCCCACTGGACAGATGAAGAAAGTGAGACTCGAATTATCAATAACTAAGGGAGTAGTACTAGTAATACAGCGGACTCCGTGAGGATCCACATCTCCTGACAGCCCATATTCTTGTCCGTTACTGCAGCCTTAGAGACTGGACTAAACAAAGTATCACTAGAAGAAAAACTCAGATGTTCTTGCCTGCAGAAAGTAGCAACTTGTTCCACTCTACTTCCAAGAGACAATCCCTACTGCATTAACTTACATGTCATAAAATTAAAAGTACCACTGCACACATAGCTTGAGTATCTCTGACCAACATACATGGGACAGACCTGTTTGCAGATGGGATTTTTGGGTAGAATGGTTTTGTAATATTTACATATACACCTTGGAGGTGGGATAAAGGTCTAAACACAAAATTCACTTCTGCTTTATATATACCTTACACACATAGTCTAAAAGTAATTTTACGCACTACAATAGTGTGCCTGGATTTTGAATACAACCAGTCCCATGAAGAATTTTCTTGTGATATCAAGTCGGAGTGGAAGAAGTTTCAGGTTTTGGAGCATTTTGATTTTCCCTCTTTGAATCAGGGGATGCTCAATATGCATGGCCTTTCTCCCCCCCCCCTCCCTTTTTTTCTTTTTTGAGACAGGGTTTCTTTGTGTAGCCCTGGCTGTCCTAGAACTTGCACTGTAGACCAGGTTGGCCTTGAACTCATCACGCACGGCTGACCGGCATTTTATTAATGAGAGTTAGGATCACGTAGACAAGTTGGATCTGCACCCAACCAGAAGTTTCATTTCAGTTTATAGAAAATGTTACATGTACAGCAGCTTAAGCATTTAGGTTCTTCCCAGTTTTGCTGTTCTGACCTCAGGCAGAATTTAAAGTACGTACAGAAACATAAAACCAGGCGGTATTTAGAAGTAGTCTCGTGCTTGGGAGGTTTTCAGGCTGTTTTCCTCACTAGATCGATTTTCTCATTGGGTTTTCCTGGGTGCTTGGCTATCACGTCTGTCAGAGCACCTCACGGGTGCAGTGCCTCAAGAGGCTATCAGATACCCTGGAACTGGAGTTGGGGGTTTAGATGGTGAGCACGTGGGGGATGGGAACCAGACCCAGGCCACCTGTGAGAACAAGTGCTCTTAACTGCTGGAGCCACCTCTCCAGCCCCTAAGCTAACCTTTAAAGGTTTTCAGGCCCCTACATTCTAACTTCCAAGCAGCAGGAAACATAGATCCAGTAATTGTTTTAAAATTGTGCTGCAAAGTAAGTATCATGAAGCTAAGAACAAAGATGGTCAAATGCGTAGTGTAGACTGTCTTTGTTCTCTTATCAGAAATCAGAGAATGAGATTGGATCCAAAGGTCTTATCAAATTCAATAAAATTAAAATGCATGTTTCCCCCCCAAATCTACTTATATCTAATTGAGCTACATTGACTGTAAACACTATAAACATCACCTATGTTGCTGGGAATGGTGGCATGCCCCCATTTAATCCTGGCACAGCACTTGGGAGGCCGAGGCAGGTGGGTCTTTGAGTTTGTGGCTAGCCTGGCCTACATAGTGAGTTCCAGGTCAGCCAAGGCTATATAGTGAGACCCTGTCTAAAACAACCCTTACCAAAACACTACAACTACACTTCCCCCAACACACACACACACACACACACACACACACACACACACACACACACACACACACACACATCTGTCTGTACAAGCGGGCCATATTCAGACAAAAGTTAGTTGTTGTACTCTAAAACAGCTGAGACAAGGTCTGGGTGCTTTTATCCCTTTTGTAGGAATTGCTACAATGAGCCATGTAAACCTAATTTTCTAAATCTTAATTTTTCGAGTTACCCTTTAAGAAGCAAACTGAAATAAAAATTGCTTTTCCTCATATAATCAAAATTACTATAATTATACCAGCAAATGTGCACATGATCACAGTAGAATTCAGCCCTCAGATCTTTAGACAGCACATTCGAGGACGGAATACTGTACTGTAGGGAACACTGATTTAGAAGCACACTCCACCCTTTTTCTTTTTTCCAAGACAGAGTCTCTTGTAGTCTGGGCTATCTCAGCCTCACTTTGTTGTACCTGAGGATGACCTTGAACTCCTGCCTCCACATTCAAAGTATTGCATCTGTCACCACAGCTGGCTGTTAGTGGTGGATTTTTCCCCCAAGAGCTGAGGACTGAACCCAGGGCCTTGTGCTTGCTAGGCAAGCAACCTACCACTGAGCTAATCCCCAACTCCTGTAAGGCATTTCTTACCAAACTTGGATCTACTTCGACTCCTCGAGATTCCAGGTTCTTCCGGACTGTGGTAATCTCATCGCTTGCAAGATAAGCTGGGTGCTCCTCGTTACACTTCAGCATCTTCTCCAATTCATTCTTGGTTTCATTGTGAACACCCTTTAAAGTTAAAAGAAGGCTGTTTAGACAGTTCAAGCTTGGCACTTGTGAAAATAGAGGCCAGAAGAAGGACGTGGATTCTGGGAACTGAACTCTGGAGGAGTAGCAAGCACTCTTAACCACTGAGCTATCTCTCCAGTCCCCTGGTTTCTTTCTCATCTTTAACAAAGGAAGACCTTACGTCTCTTTTCTTGCTAAGACCTGTCACTCATGAAGGCAGAAGGAACTGTACACAGCTCTCTAAACTGACCTGGGGATACCTTCTGCCTCTCCTGAAATATGGTCCTCACTGTATCTTCTAGGAAAGAGGGACACCTGAGCAGCTTTCAGCTGGGAGTGGACGGATGGAGAGATTAGGGACGAGAACTCCAGTCAGTCACCATGTTAAAGGAAAAAACAAACCTGACACACGGACACCTCCCAGGTGACTGGTGTCCTTCCCCAGATCTAAACAGTCAGCCTCAATCTTACATATGCTGCCCCAAGCCTGGGCTTGGAACAGGGGTGAAGGCTCATCTAGGAAGGGCTCCCAGATTCCTCTTCTAGGGGTACAGATCCTTTGCAATGACCTTAAATGCATTTGTTACTTTTCTTAAATGGATTCTGGAGAAAAACAACTTGTGAGCAGGAGTTGTCTCTCTGTTTGGTTAGTCTATTTACCAGGAGTTGCTGAGCAAAGTACTTGTCATTGATTGCTCTGGAGGCTTCTAACCCTACTCTGAGTTTAGCTGCCATATACCAGCTGTTTCTACTCCATGTCTCTTCCAGAGAGCTCTGATGGAGAGCCTCACAAGGTCTTTTGGACAGACCTTTTCTCAGCCCATCTGTGTGGCAAACTCACTTATCTATCAGGAAACCAGGAGTAAGGGCATGGGAAAAAACAGGGTACTGATCGTGTACCTCACTAACTTTATCTAAAATGTAAAGAAAAACATGGGAATAAGGTCATGCTCTTCGGGAGTGCTTTATCCTCTTTACCTTTGAATTTTCCCATTTAGCATCCTTTTTGCTAATTAAGTAGATTCAGGGAACACAGGAAACAACAGCAAGTGGACCGGATACCACCTCCTTTTCTTATTATTTCATCATTTACATTATTTTGATTTGATATTCTATTTATGCATTTCCCTTTAAGAACTGAAGGATGAGACTGATATTACAGGAAAAGAAGCTGTGGTATCGCACGCCTTTAATCCCAGCACTTGGGAGGCAGAGCCAGGCAGATCTCTGTGAGTTTGAGGCCAGCCTGGTCTACAGAGATCCAGGACAGACTCCAAAACTACACAGAGAAACCCTGTCTCAAAAAAACTAAAAAAAAAAAAAAAAGTTCAAAGGAGTGAAAAGGGGTGAGTGTGGAAGTGACACACATTTTTCTACAATTACCGATTTATAAAGTTCTTTATATTTAGCTTTGCCATTTTGTTCTGAAGTGCTCATTCAATATTTACTAAAGGATGAGTTCTATCATACTTTCCATCTGAATTTTCATATTTATTTTGTATGCATTTTAACAAGCTACTACAAAAAGGTAAAACTCTTTGAATGAACTTCCAACAGAAAAACTCAGAGATAATATAATAAACTATACACACACACACACACATACATAAACATATATACGTATATAAAAATCAGTATTCTTCCTAAGCACAACTGTCACATAGCTTTTGATTCTGTTTCATGTTTTTTGTTCATAACTACTCTTTACTTAAAGAGATTTTATTTATTTTACTTTGTGCATGGGTGTTTTGCCTACATGTATGTATGTGCACCACGTATATGTCTGGTGCCCTCAGAGGCCAGCGTTTGTGGTGGGTGTGAGCTGTCCTGTGGTCCTGGGACCTGACCAAGCCCATGTCCTCCATAAGGGCAGGAAGTGCTCTTACCCACCAGCCACCTCTCCAGCCCAACTACTCTGTTTTGAACCTCAGTCAGGGAACAGAAATAAACGGAGTGGTCAACCACAGGGAAGCACAGTTTATTGATTTTTTTTTAATCTTTTAATAAAACATTCATTATAGTTTAAAAAGGTTTATGCAACTAAAATTCTAAAGAATGTTCTAGAGCTGCGAGAATACTGGGTATACATATGAACATGTGCGTGTGTGCATGCACACACATGTGCACATGTGAGTATCTGTGAGTGGCCCTGGTGGATGCATGTGGTTGCTGGCACCTGTGGGCACACACAGAGGTCAGAGGAGAACATCAGGTATCCTGTGCTGCCTTTCCCAGTGAACTTGGAGTTAGGCTGGCAGGCAGTGGCCCCAGAGATCCTCCTGGCTCCACCCCCAGAGCTATGGGTGCTCATGCAGCCATGCTAGGCTTCTTTGGGGGCCTGGGATCTGAACTCAGGTCCCATGCTTTCACAGCAAGAGCTCTTACCCACTGAGTCATCTTCCCCAGTCCCACGACTGTGTTAACGCTGGAACTGAAATGGACAGGCAGATGGGCTGGCACATGCCTATGATCTCAGCAAGAGGCTGAAGGAGAAGTTCTCTGAGTTCAAGGCCAGCCTGGGCTACAGAAAATCAAAGCAAACTAAACCATGAACAAAATGCCACCATGAGAATGGAGATGTTTTTGTTCTTACCTGTTCTTGGGTCCGATTCTTCCAGTACAACCACCGCTTTTTCCAGTCTGGGCCTATCATGTTTTCAATAGCATTTTCAGCTAGAAGAAAGGTAAAAATTAATTCAGTGGGAATTTTATCATTTACCAGGGCTATAAATTATAACTAATAATGTTCATGAATTTTTAATTATTTCTAAATGCTGTATTAAAATGAAATTAATAGCCGGGCGGTGGTGGCGCACGCCTTTAATCCCAGCACTCGGGAGGCAGAGCCAGGCGGATCTCTGTGAGTTCGAGGCCAGCCTGGACTACCA